GAAATTGCTGTATGACTGCATCATGATATCATTCTCTTGCATTTAAAATGAAGGCCTAATTTTCTCTCTTTTGGCTATGAATTTATTGATTCAACTAGTTCTCTTGCATTTATTTAAACATGTCACTTGATTCTTATTTGCTTAACAGCATCAATGCATTTGTGCTTGAGTTTTATGTATCACCGACCCCTAACATGAATGAAGTTCTTTCAGATACGATCATCAACACCCACAACTCTTAGTTCTGCTGTTAACGATATCAGGTCTGTTGTTAGCATGACAGACAGGATACCAGGTTCAGAAACAGAAAATGGTTCTAGGGCTGCAGTTGGTGAAAATTTAATCACCAAAAAAAGGAACCGTGACACAAGTGCCATGCCCTTGAACAATCTGTCATCTGCTGGAAGTGTAAATGATAGAGATAAACAAACCTATACTGTTGATACATCTGAATTACAGTTGACTGTGACATCACGAGTTAAGCGGCCGAAAGTTGAGGTTCGATATTATGCATTTGATTTCATAGCAAAGTATTTTCCTGATATGCTTATTCTGTTTTTTAATTGAATGACTTCTCTCGATCATTTGCTTTGGTGTGGATTTCTTAGTTGCCTTGTGATTCCAAATTTGTAGATGCTTTGTAGTTTCAAGTATATCATGAACTTCATTTTTCAGCTCTCTTCTAAAGTCATATGTATATGCATTTAAAGCTTAATTCTTCTTTCATGTATGGTTACTCTGAAGCAACAATTTCCACTTTTGAAACCCAAAGAGTAATCCTAATCCCTTTCATCTTTCAGGTGTTGTAAACAAGGCAATTGCCTTTGAAAATGTGCACATAATTGTGAAACCTGTTGTTAGCATATGTGCACAAAGATATTTGAATATAACAAGACTGTTGCAGTATATTTATGCATATAATTTTCCGTAGATGCACCAGTGCCTTTCGCCAATTGTGGCTATTTTCTTAGGGTGTTGATTTCTTAGATCCTTTGTAGTTTCAAATAGAGCTTGAACTACTTTTTCAGTTCTCTTTTGTATGTTACTCATTCAAAGATTAATTAGTTTAGAAATTTGAACTTTTGAAGCCTAAAGAGTAATCCTGAACTCTTTTATCCTTCAGCAATTAAAGAAAAGGAACATTGCCCTTGTAGATGTGTGCATAATTGTGAAACCTGTTGTTAGCATTTAGTGTATGGAGATATTTACATAGAACTACAAGATTGTTGCTATATAGCTATGCATATCATCACCTACAAGGCACCAATGTCTTTCCCATTCGTAGCCATTTTTAACCATTGGATTTGGATTTGGATTTATCTGACCTACCTATATGTTTCACAATTATATATATGTATATCAAAATGTACTGATAACTTATTCTTTCTGGTAGTGTCATTTAAAGATTATATCAAAATGTTATCGAAACAAACTATTCTAGTTGCATGTTACTGGTGTTTGTTGTCATTTGATGGTGATGAACTAAATCCTTCTGTGGTCCCATCCTCCTGAGTGCATTGAAGATATTTCATCAGCTGAACACTCTTCCCTCTGTACATATGTGCACATGCACACATATGGGTAAGCAAGTATGATCCGTTCATCTAGTATCTGTGGGATCTGTTGATTCCATACAAAGTTTGAAAGAGAAAAAGAATTCATTCTTATGAAAAGCTGTATCCTTGTTCAATGCAGATATAAATGATGTGTTTCTAGTTGGTACACTAAACCAAGATAAATCTGTTTCTGATTCTTTAAAAAAGAAACTCATTGCTTCTAAACTGTTTCCTCTGTTTCTTCCCTTGTTGTAATAACTTCTCTTCTATTCCAAGTGTTCCGTTCATAATATGATATTTCTTTCCTATTGGTGCACTGCTTACCCTGGCATTTCTTGGTTCCATTAAATCTCAGCACTCTGTCTAACTGCAGATGAATCATGCTTTACATGAAGAGATCAGGGAGATAAACCAACGGCTAATTGGTACAGAGATAAAAATAAGTGATGTGGACACCGATCCGATATCTGCTGCTTCGAACGGCAAAGGAACAATTGTGAAATTTTTCTTCACTCCTTTGATTCGATCTCCAATCTCAAAATCTTCATATACTATGGTGAGCTTCAATCAGATAGTATCATGTGCAGATAATGTACATAAGAGCTGCATTTAGTGTTCATGTTTCTCTCATTCTTTTTTGTTCTTTTTGGTCATCCAGAGTCGAATTCAGCCTTTGAATTTGCTTGTTCCTGCTAGTTATCCAAAATGTTCACCTGTTCTTTTGGACGAGCTTCCAGATGACCAAAGGTAAGACGATGCTAAGTATCATCTATAAGCTTACATTGGGGACACAACAGGAAAGTAACCTGCTTCTCCCCACCCCCCCCCTTTTTTCGACCATGTAGCAGGGAATCTGAAGATCTATCTATCAAGGCTAGGTCAAGGTTCAACAATTCTCTCCGAGGCCTATCACAGCTGGTCTCACTAGGAGAACTGGCAAGGACATGGGATGCCTGTGCCCATAAAGTACTGGTAGAATATGCACAACAGACTGGCGGAGGTACCTTCAGCTCAACATATGGCACTTGGGAAAAATGTGTAGGTGTTTGATGCTCCATTTGTCTGAGGATGCTTGCCGGATTTAGTTAGAGAGGTTTAGCAGATAACCTATCACTCTGTACATACAATTACTTGCTCCCAAAGATGAAAATTTCAGCCCTCATATTCCCTACAAATGAATTGGGCCATGCTTGTAACATTTACCAGGTCATCAAAATTTTTTCTTGTATTACTGTAGTGTTGTCTGTATCGTTCAGTACTACTAAATGGAAAATGCATCATTGGATATGAGTTGTATAGGTGGTCTCCGACTCTCTCGCATGTGACATTCAAATTTGTAAAATAATTCTGTAAGTAATATCAATCTCATATTTTCTGACCTATTTTTTGTGCTGGAAGTATGCTGATTCTTGCACTACGTATGTGATTCCTGAAATATTTGACTGATCATATGAAGGGGAAGGGAAGAGAGGAGAGAGAACAGACTTTTGTGTGTTGCCTTTTCTCAAATTGATTGATGTAAATGAAGCCCTAATTTGCTGCTCATAATGCTTCATGTGGATCAGTTTATAGCTCTTCCATTAAGATCAGGCTTGTTCAAGTTGGTGGCATAGATTGTGTGAAGTTTCTGAGCTTGAACTTGCTGATCAAAGTGTGATACCCAAATCTCCATGACTTGGTCAAATGTTCATTTGGCTACTCCATTGATCTAAAACACAATCTGTAACTTTCGTGTGTGCAGGTCTGGGCTATCATGTGCTAATGTTATCAACCGGCACATTTCTTGCATCTCGATACAGTTCTATGTTCCTTCCATTCATCAATTATTGCTTATTATTTCTATTTAATTATATTGGAGTTTTGGTAATGAGTTCGTCATGCATGATGTGCCCTCAATCGTGCCATGAACATGTCATACTTACTAGAGTGATGCCCAGATTATGACATGAAGGCGAATGACCCCCCATCCACAAAACACTAGTCCATAGTGATGACTACTTAATTGCATGTTCCACTGCCCACAATTTGACTAGCTTTGGCATTGGAATAAGACTGAATCAGAATATTCTTTTCGTAAATTGATCGGAATCAGGTCGAATTTGGGACACATATTTTTATCCTCTTATTCATGATATAGACATAATGCGAAGTTTGTGCTTATAATATTTCTTTAACAAAGCAAAAGCGTGGAAACATATTTACTCTCAAAAACCTTACAATCAACCATTAAAATTCTTACAACTAATTAATATTTTCAAAAAAAATAAGTAAATACTTATAACAATTAATGTTATTTGAGATTTTGGTTATCCAACAAATAAAATTAAAGAATTAATTTCCTACCCAAATGTTACTCCGTCTACTAGTAGTTCTTTTCTATTCGAGCCCCCGTCCCTTCACCCTGTCCAAATGTTAGATCGGTTCTGATACCAAATGTCATGACCCGGGTTTAATGGACTAACTAGTATATCAACTTCGTTTGATTCAAACTATTGATTAAAATATTTAAATTAAAGTTGATAGTAATACACTCATCAGATCCTTATAAATCAATCTTAATATTATCCACAGAACTAATCAAGGGTGTTATAAAATTTATAGGATGACATGTCATCGAGTTACTCGCTTGTTGTTCCCCCTCATCATCTATCAATCAATATTTGCAATCAACGTTATATCAACTTAAAACAAGTTCATGTTGCGTTATGGTTATTGTTGCCCGTAAATAAAAGCAATAATTACCATTATTTCTATAAGAAAAACCTTTTGAGGGATCTAAAATTATTTCTTATATATATATATATTATAGTAGTAATAATTAATATTACCAGCTGTTGTTTTTGTTTTTGTTTGTTGTTTTGGGGGGGGGGGGCGTCGGGGACGAACAGATAGGATCGTACGGCTCTGAGCGGGGTTTAGCTGGAACTAGCGGAGGACAGCTGTCTCGTACGGCAGCATCAAATAAATCAACCAGCGGAAACCCGACGTTCCTTTCCGGTGGACCCCGTCGCTGCTCCACGTGTTTCTTGGACGTCGACGCGGGTGACACCGCGGGGACGACAGCGGGGAGTGGGGGAAGGGTGCAGCTCATATCAGAATACGCAGCTCCCGTCGCCGTTCCTCCGCGTTTGTTGTTTTATTCCGGCACTGTGAACGAGCCGCAGCGTCGTTTTCCCTTTCTACCCTCGCATTGCTCGCTCCACCCCGCAAGCTTAGGGCAGTGAAAAGGGGTAATGGAGGTCAAAACAACCGTCCACATCAGGCATTTCGCGAGGAAAGTAGGGGCAGATCCGTCATTTAATTGACTGGGAAAAGGAACGGGCACGGAGCCCGCACGCTAACTTTAAAATTTACACTTCAGTGCCCTTCAAACAAACAAATAAATAAATAAATAAATAAAAAGAAAAACACACTCGTAACTAAATAAAACCTCTCTCGCTCTCTCTCTCTCTCTCTGCGTTCCTCTCTATCCCTCTCTTTAGCGGTCGCCTTTTCTGTTCCATTTCTCTTCTCACTTGGGCCGGCGATAGCCGGACTCCACCGCCGGTGGTGGCCGTGCCGGTCGGTGGGGGGAGTGAGTGGCCAGTTGGGAGCGGGAGATATCGGGATGGGAAGAGTGGGGTTGGGAGTGGCGGTGGGGTGCGCGGTGGTGACGTGCGCGATCGCGGCGGCGCTGGTGGGGCGGAGGGCGCGGAGCTGGTGGCGGTGGGCGCGGGTGGTTGGGGTGGTGGGGCAGTTCGAGGAGGACTGTGTCACCCCGGTCTGGAAGCTGCGCCAGGTGGTGGACGCCATGGTCGTCGAGATGCACGCTGGGCTCGCCTCCGATGGCGGGAGTAAGCTCAAGATGCTGCTCACTTTCGTCGATACACTGCCGGACGGGTAATCGCCTCCCGCTCCTCTACTTGATGTCCATCCGTCGTTTTTACTTTGTCCGTTTAGGTTCCTGCTTGGGTTTCTTCTTTCTCTCGTGTGGATAAAGATCTTGGAGTGTTTTGGGTGTTCTTGTTTCTGCCCGGATTCCTATATCGATGCGACTCTTATCTTTTCTCCGTGATTTAGATATGAGCTTTAATTCTTGCATTGGTAAAATGTCCTCGCGTGGTTCTTAGTTATTGGTGTTATACTTGAACACAGTTAGTCTTTTGTCCGTGGAAAGAAGGTTGTTGTATTATTATTTTCGTTGCTTTTATAGCCTTTTCGTTTTCTTTTTTAGGTCGTCGTTAGATTTATTTCTAAATGTATTTGCCTTTTAATATCTTTATTATTGATGAGTTTGGATTGGATTTTAAATTGCATATTGCTTGGTGTGTGTTCTTTTAATATAGTAGATCTTCAAATATATGCATTGAATACTAAATGCTAGTAGGGAATCGAAAGAACAGTGTTTGTCGGCTTTGAGTCTGTCCACTTAGTATGTCATTCTTGATTTAACTTGAGCAAATGCAAAAAAAGTGACCAATCGAATTATTATTGTAAACCTGAAAAAAATGAAATTCAAAACAAAAATATTATCACTGATCTACGTAAGAGATGCTATTACTTAATTATACTCTTGAAGTTTGGAGTTTTAAGTATTTACAACACATTAGAGTAGATAAACAGAATAATTAGTTAGTTCATTATTGAGTAAACAATAGAAGTTGGATCTTCAAAGTCGAACAAATACTAATACTTCAATGTAGATACCAAAATATAGAACTAGTTTAATTGTCTTTTATAAAAGGAATTATTTTTCATCCTTCACAAGAAGACTTCTTTCAATGCTCATAATAAATGATTGTTTGTTACTAATGAGGACCTCTGGCTAAGCAGGAATGAAGATGGCGTATACTATGCTCTTGACCTACGAGGTACTATTTGTAGAGTCTTGAAGGTTCAACTTGGTGGTAGTGGGTCTAAGATCATAAACCACAAAGTTGAACAGCAACGGATTCCCGAGGAATTGGTATCCGGTACAAGTGAGGTAATTGTAACTCTTGTTTTTGGAACTTCCCCTTATTTTGGTTCTGTGATAGGTAATGTAATTATCTTTGTACACAGGAACTTTTTGATTTTATTGCCTTGACACTAAAAGAATTTATTGAAAGAGAAGAAAATGGTCAAGTACCAGGTTCAAAGAAGGAACTTGGTTTTACATTTTCTTTCCCTATCAGACAATTGTCTGTTTCTTCAGGTGTTCTTATCAAATGGACGAAAGGATTTACAATTGAAGATGTTGTAAGTTGAGTTCTCATTAAGAGCATATGTTCATATTCCTGATAACTGTACTGGTTTAATTTAAGGGCCACAAAATGAACTGTTGTCCAGGCTTGTTATTCAAACATCTTCTATCATGATTCTAGCTGATCATATAGTACCTTTCTATATCTATACTTGAACAATCTGTTAATCAACAGAATTCACAATGATCTATCTGCTTAATATTTTATTGGGTGTCAATGCATATATGTTGTGTAGTTCCTTGAGGACAATAGATTTGTTCCCTACACTAATGAACCTTTGAGTAGCTATGGTTATAGTGAACTCAAACACTGAAAATACATTTGATGGAATGTTTATTTTGCAAGATAGCAATAATTTAAGTGAGGCAATCCCTGTGGCTACTAAAAAAAATTAAACTTTTGATACTAGAATGTATTTTGCTTCAACTATATTGCACTAGCATTGGTGTCAACACAATGCATATTTTACCACTATGATTTATGATTTAATCCATCAAATTATAGGGTATCATGTATAATCTTGGTCATCAGAATGCTAGAAGCCTAGAATTGCTGTGCTTCCTTTTGCTGATTAAACAAAACCCAGCAGGAAGTCTTTAAAGTTTGAGGCACTGTTGTTAAACAATTTTCTATTGGTCTATTTGGATGTTTTTTGGTGGATATACTTGTCAGATTGTATTTGATTCTTTAAAATAAACTCTAATGCACATGCGTGTGTGTGAAATTATCAACTGATGACATTAATGAAAATCTGCATTAATTAACTTTGAGTTGCTTCTGAATTAGAGAGATTTTATTAGAAGAACAGTTTATTGTTTTAAGCCAGTTGTACATGACATAGCTAATTTTTAACCATTTTTAAGTAATTATGAATGTGGATGAGTTTTGAAATTTCTCTTCATCTGACCTAATATTTATTATGAAGTTTGATTGGGTACTCCAAATGAATCTGGTTTAGTTTTCTTAAATGATATGTTGATGGATTATAATTCTTGTTCTTGACATGGAGTAGCTTCTAAGTAGCTTATTTTGTAGTTTACTTTGTCTTGGTGGGCTGAATTAAAGTTGTGCTGCATGAGAATTTACTTTGCCACACCTACTCCATTTATTAATTTAAGAAAGGTTGTATGATGATTTTTTTTTTTTAATATTGGCCTTCTTTTTATCAAAGTATTATAAGCTTATTTAGAAATACCTGAATCCACTTTTGCAATTTAGGTTGGAAAAGACGTTTCACAGTGTTTAGAGGAAGCCATGTCGAAGAATGGATTGCATATGCAGGTGGCAGCTTTGGTATGATTTTAGATCCTCCGGTTTTCCAGCAAATATTGAGCAAATGTAGGAAAAACTAGAGATGGGTTTACAGCCTATTTAAAAGAACACATAAGAATAGAAGCAAAGCATGGTGAGGGGAGCAATGACCTCATTCCATTTTTTATTCAACTACTTCAGTATAGGTATTGAATGCCCCCCAACCCCACTCTCCACCCAAAAAGAAGTGAAATAAAACAAAAGATAAAACACAATCACATTGACCTATCTTTTGGATAAATTTTCTTGAAGTAACGTGTTCAGAAAGAAAATTGTTGGCCATAATTATCAATTGATGGTCAGCTTGAACCCATGTATTAAATCTCTGGTGAGATTATGTGCTCATGGATACTTCAGATTCTTAATGCTTGATGTTATAGGTTTGACAATGTTTAAAAGGAAATGATCTTTTTGGCTCTTAGTGTTCTTTTGTTGTGTATATGTGGAGAAGTTGGGCTAATGATAATTATATCGGTAATTTTTATCAGACATTTTAAAGATATATTTAATCATTTGAATTCTGAGGACACTACTGAATCTAGGTTTTCTTCTAGTACTTTGAGGCTTTTCTATAGGGATTTGAAATCCCAAGACTCCATAAGATCCAACTAGGGATCCAAAGTCGAAGTTGGAATTTCTCCATGTTCCATGTAAGGAGAAATATTTTTATTTAGCTAGGGAAATTTTGGGCACGTGATATATGGGTGATGATTTATAATTTTATAATATGGAATTCTATGGAGACCCCTTGATCTGAATCCTAGGATTTAGAGGGTGTGGTTTACAGGATCTGATTTGGAAGGTAGATTTTTTAGGGTGATTGACTCAAATCCTTTTGATCTTATAGAGAATTAGATTTTGACACTTAAGACTTTTGGCTAATTTTAGAGGTCTTCAAATGTGGTAGTTAGAAGATGTGAAATAATTAATATTAGTGGTATGAGGAGAGATAAAGGAAGACCTAAAAACACTTTAATAGAAAATATAAATAAAAATTTAAGTACTCTGACCTTAACTAAATATGACTTTTTATAGATCTCAATAGTGGAAAAAAAATCATGTAGCTAACTCTAAATAATTGGGACTTACGGCTTTGTTATTGTTGTTGTAATAGATTTCTGGCTGATTTAGAGGGTAGGATTTGGATTAGCTATTTTGGTGATAGAATTTCAAAGATGAAAATTCTTGAGTGGAGATTTCAAAGATAAAGCCCATGAGATCTCTGTAATAATGGAGCTTAAGGGAGTGATTTGGCCAAACATCCAAAACGTTACTCTAAATTTGAGCAATCTGTTTCGAAAAGATTCAGAACTTCCTATTTTCATAATGTGAAAATCACGGCCTTCAAAGTTACAGATTCTTTAATTGACTGTGATGCTAAAATCGTTATAGCTACTAGTATCAAGGATTCAAGTTCCAATCTGCACGAGTAACAGTCAGTCATCGAAGTAGTTTATGCTGTGGCCTTTTAGTACAAGTCCTTCATTTTACCAGAACTAGGAAGCAAGACAGCAAGGAAATATAAAAGACACTCTCCATAAAACCAATCTCAACAAAAGAAAAAGGAAGGAAAAACAAGCACACACTCGTCTATGCTTCTTTGGCATCTTCTCTTCCCACCTTTCATTTTCTAGTATAGCGGGATGCAGAGGGGTGTGGGCATAATACCTATAGTTGCCTTATTACAATTATCAAGAACTGAGGGCTTGAGGAGTTCGCCCAAAAGTAAAATTTAAATCCTTAGGAGAAATGTCCTGATATTTTTAATCTTAATTAGGACCACTGTACCTATAGCTGATCTCATAAATGCTTTAATCTTATAGATCTAAATTAATTTAAGATAAAAAAAATCTATTCTGGACATTCTACTTTCAAATCCTTAAGAAAATTAAAGGCAAAAATTCTGAACAATTTAAACTATTAAGAAGTTCAGAACTTTCAACTCTTCTGCCACCTATTTCTTCAGAACCAATTGAAAACATAATTTGCTAGTTTGTAAAACCATAAATTGTCACCTAATACAGTAAGCAGCTTAAGTAAACTATTCATTACACACTGCAACCTAGCAAAATAAGCACAGCCAGGTGGCAAACCCTGTACTTGTATCCATACACAAAACATGGCATACTATTGGAAATTGTGACCAAGAATTTGGAGTTGTTGGTGGAGTGATTGAACAACTGGCATTTATAAGAATATATTATGTAACTTACAAGTAATTATTGGTTTCAAAGAACATGATGTTGGGTGAGAAGAATTGTCACATTCCTTGATTGCGGTGAAAAAAGACAATAATTGGCCATCTAGTGCCATAGTTTTGACTCGTTAGGTTCATTGCTAATTTTCCATATGTTTAGTTTTTACTTGGTCATGGTTGCATAAATGCTTCCTCATCGTATTTGTTCCATAAACATTTCTGATTTACCAAATGTAATCCAATTTTTATCTGTTGTAGTTCTACCTATAATTCTAGTGTTCGTTTGAAACCTTTTCTATTGTGGCTGGAATAGATCTCAGTTACTGTGGTATAAAGATATGAACCTTAAATTTCTTCTTGGCTTACAAGTTCTTGGATATGCAATATTTGCCTTATTGCTTATGACTTTGAAAAGGGATCTGTTGCTGTGGTGATACTGCCTTTACTGTGAAAATTAAGATAAACTATTTAAGGTTCAGAAGATGAAATAAATACATTGATATCTGATTATTCCATAGGAATTTATAGTTCGTCAATCGTAAGGTTAGATTTTTATGACAAGCTCAGGTACTTATGGCATATTTGTCAGCTTTTTTGCCATAAGTACTCATTCTGGACACTCTTTGTGATCCTTTTAGGAAAAGAAGCTTCTTACCAATTATGTTCTGTGAAATCTCAGTAGGAAAGCAGCTTATAATTTACATTTTTGTTACAAAGATGTCAATTTATTGTTATGGTCACTAATAGCAGATTCTAACACATCCTTCTCTTCTCTTCCATGGTTTGTAATAGATATAGTTATGACATTTTCCACAACTTCAATTTATGGCAATTTGATGGCTTTTATTGGCTCCCAGAAAAAATCTCTAATGGCTTGTAGTATTGACCTAAAGATGAGAGAAATCAACTCCAGAGATAATATATGCAACTATACACAAACAAAGGTAGATAAATTTGATAATTGTCAGATAAGTAAAATGTGGAGAATCATGATTTTTCTTAAAACAAGAGTGTGCTAAGTGCATTTGAAACCACGGAAATTTGGATAACTGCTTAGATTGGATAGACAATGGAAACTATTTTATGGTTGTTTCCAGAATCTTATGGAAAATAACATATTCTTTGCAGCCATCCTTTTTCTCCTGTTATTGACTGCTCTGCTCATTTTCATGCACATCAAAGATAGTGGTGCGTGTGTGCTGCCTAAGTTAAATAGTGGGATTTATGTTCTGCCATCTATGCAGGTGAATGACCCAGTAGGCACGTTAGCTGTCGGACATTATGATGATGCAGACACTGTTGCTGCAGTGATAATTGGATATGGCACCAATGCATGCTATGTTGAGCGATCTGATGCAATTATTAAGTATCAAGGACTTCTTACTGACTCTGGATTCATGGTATCTTTAGTTATTATTATTATTTCCCATCACATGATCTTCTAGTAGTTTGCTCACATGCTCATTTATGTTGATGTTATACTAGATTGTCAATATGGAGTGGGGAAATTTCTGGTCTTCACATCTACCTAGGACCTGTTATGATATTGCTTTAGATGATGAAAGTCCAAATCGAAATGATCAAGTAAGTTTATTGAAATGTCACTCATTTCTGTTTACTTATAGTTGCAGTTTCTTCAATCGAGAAGCTATTTGACATGCTTTCCCTTGCTTTTAGGGGTATGAAAAAATGATTTCAGGGATGTATTTGGGTGAAATCGTTAGAAGGGTTCTTCATAGGATTGCAGAGGTGTCAGATATTTTTGGAGATTCTGCTCATCATCTCTCTGTACCATTTATTTTGAGGTAAGGTGTTGGTCTTAGAGCATCCATTCTTGCAGATATCCTTGTTTATAGTAGCAACTTCACTTGGTTGTTGGTAATCCATGTCTTTTGTATCTTTTGTATTTTGGATGCAAACTTTCTCAGATTACATACGAATGTTTGGCATTATTCCTCTTTTGCATTATTGCATGAAACAAAAGACAATATGATCTTGAGAAAATCACATTTGATATCTTGCTTATTCCTGATACGACCAAGGCAAGATGCCTTCAATTACATTGAAGCCAAAAAATTTATGAAAAAATAAAAGAAATTGTACTTCTAATAAAGTAAGTTTCTTTTCTTTTGTTTAATCCATTTCAACATAATTGTGATATTCTCTGGGTATGGTGCTGTCATTATATCGAAAAAAAAATAGAGGTAATATGTGCAACTTCCTCTGTTATTTGATTAGCTGCAAGTATTTGTATGTATGTAATAATGGAAACTTTGTTTTTTGCTCATTTTGGTGCTTTGTTAAAACAGCATTTGGCTGTTTGTTTGGTTTCTTTTAAAGATTAATTTTAACATTGATCATAGCTTGAATGCTTTCGATAACCTTTACTTTGCATTAACCAAGACTTGTATGGTCACTCTATGAATTGTTACAGTTAGTCATCCTTTTGTGGTGACTTCATGTTGACCAGTAATGTGCTTCCTCTGTTTCTGGTTCTTGTTTCATCACTTCATATATAGCCTTCTTAATGTCATTTCCAACTTAATGTCCAAAACTGGTAAATTTTATGGTGCTTCTGTAGAATTTTTGTACTATTGGTCCTTTTCACACACTTCTTCTGGAACATCTGTAACACACAATTATGGACAAAGTCATTTTGATGATGAGTCCTTGTGCTTGATAACCTGCAGTTAGGTTCACAGAATGAATTTGGGAGGGCAGTTATCATCAGTAAACATCAGACATTATTCTTCCCTGAATAAATGATGCCTTTATTAATTGTGATAACTAGTGTTACTGCTACTCAGGAGTTGGGACCTACTGTGCCTTGCTGATATGTCTTATTTGGAACAACAATCATAATTTTCAAGTCTGTATCTCAATCATCGACCCGGATTTGGTTTCCTGATGCATTCATTGAATTTGAAACTTGGTAAATAAAATGTATGTAATCCATGTTTGCTTTCTCCTCTCAGATTTCCTCATAGCATATTTTAAATATGCTACGGACATCTAATTTGTTTCTTTAAACCATGTCATAAAATAACAAAAAGTTGACGATATTGAGGTCATAACTTCCCATCTCTATAATTCAGGACACCTTTGATGGCTGCCATGCATGAAGATGATTCTCCTGACTTGAGAGAAGTTGGAAGGATACTCGAAGAGAGTTTGCAGGTACATGCATCATCGGTTCCTCTAGTTAGCATTCTCAATCATAGCTCTCTCTGTTGAAATCATTAACATTGTCTGCTGGATCTTGTCAGACGTCCGGTCTATCTTTGAAAGCAAAAATGATTGTCGTGAGAGTTTGCGACGTGGTTACCAGAAGAGCTGCTAGGTTAGCTGCAGCGGGGATAATTGGCATATTAAAGAAAATAGGACGAGATGGGAGTGGCGGTGTGGCGAGTGGAAGAACCAAAGGCAAACCAAGGAGAACGGTCGTGGCAATCGAGAGAGGGCTTTATACTAATTATTCCATGTTTAGAGTATACATGAATGAAGCCATCACAGACATACTGGGGCAGGAGATTGCCCAGAACGTTGTTCTTAGGGTTTCAGAAGATGGAGCAGGAATTGGAGCTGCTCTCCTCGCTGCAGCATATTCATCAAAACGATAAAATTTCCAATTCAAATGCATTTTTTCTGTGCAGATGTAAGAAATTGTTTCAAAATATAATATAAAAAAGGTGGTATTTTGCAGAATATCCTTGAGAATAATAGCCTTTGATGGCGTGGAAATATCTTTATTGCTAAGCTCAAGAAATTTCTTTATTTCTTTTTTTTTTTATCTTATCGGACGGCTTGAAAAAAATGTGTATGGTTTTAATGATGTGACAGGTAATAGAAATTTTAAGTTACTAAATTTGATTTTTATTTTGAGATTTTTGGATTTCATAAGGTTTTGATCAGAAGGTTTTGAGAAAAATATATTCTCTATGGTTTTAAAGATTATTCTTATGAGTAGACGAAAGAGTTGTTAGTTAGTTTTTAATGTAGAAGAATATAAAATATCATTGAATTTTTCTTTCAAGTAATAATAGATGAAAATATTATTTCATGGATTTCTTGATGTAAAACAGGAAAAGAAACTTAATTGATCTTAGAAAATAATTATGAAATATGTTATATTCTCTTACACCATCTGAAGATAAATTAGAAAAAAATATATGATGCAAAGCCATTTGAAAACAAAGTTATTTTATCAAATAAAAGAATAGATGATAGATTATTTTTACCTCCTTGTGCAAAAGAATTCATAAAATCAGAAAAACATGATTCCTGACATACAAATCATCATTATTCAAGATTCAAAAAGTTATAAAACATGGTGAATTATATACAATGCAGAAACGAAGAAGTTAAGCATTCGTGCATATGATGGATTATGTTGATGACATTGGTTTTGTATTTAAAATTTGATTCAAGAGATTTTATAATGTTAGCTCAAGACAAATCAAAATTTTATAATTTATCAATACAGACATGACAAATCAAGCAGATGGATAATTACTATAAATTACTTGAAAATAATGACAAAAAGATTACATGAAGAATCAAGAATTTTCAATGATAATAATAGTAGTTAGAAAAACATGTCATTAGCATATGATGAAATAATCCTGATACGTATATGACGAATCATCCAGAATAGAGTATAGTTTTTTCAGACTCGTTACTTATACAAAGATTGGGGTCACGAAGAGCTTCTTGATCTCTTTGATGTCTAAATTAATATCAGGGTCCACCTCATCTTGAGGAGAAGTAATATCTCATAAAGATTCTATAGAGAAGGTTGTTCGTAATCGACCCGAGTTGCCCCTTGGATTTTCAAAAATATTAATATAAATATTTTGTAAGGGAGACAATTTATAACTAATCCGAGCTACCCTTGAACATTTAAGAATATTCCTATGAATATTTCGTAGGGAAGACAGCTCGATAATTGGCTCGAGCTGTCCCTCAAACTCCCATCAACATGCGCATAAGGGTGTCAGGTTGTCTAAGGTTTTTTTTTCTTTTTCTCCCATGGGCTTTATATGACATTGATGCAATGAGTAGTGGCTAGTTGATTGTATATTCCATATTATTTATCCCCTCCGAAAATATGCTTTAGGGTTTTTGGGTTCAAAGCACATTCTTGGATTTTTTTTTTTTTTTTTGATGTGGGAGCATTCGAGACTTCCTCTAGTAAGTTGGGTTTTCCAAACTAGGTGTCTTAGGGATATTAGGCCTTGGGTCTCTGGATTTTACTTGACACGGGTCATATTTTTCTTGACTCATGTACCTCGAGTGTCATTCGGCCCAATCTTCCATCATAGAATGTTATACAGGTCAGTTTTTTTTCAAAATTATGCATCTTAGGTGTACTTCACTTTTCAATTCTATCATAGTAGATTTTCCACCAGACTTATGGTTATATATATATATTTGTGTGTGTGTTGACCAACCATTTCAGAAATCTTGTGTGTGTGTGTGACCAACCATTTCAGAAATCTTAACAGATCGTAGCATCATTTCTGATGGTAACGGAAGGTATTGTATTATATCGGTCTAATTATATATTATCTTTTATACTTAAAAATTTATATTAAGATTGTTATAGTTTTAAAAATAAAACAAATAATTTTATTTGTTGTAACATCTTTAGTTATGACGAAAACACAATATTTGACATCACATACTCGATTGATACAAAAATGATGGGTAACAAGATAATTTCAATATATATATTTTTATTTTTAATATGTTAAAATTATCTTTTTTATGATAAAGTTACTAGAAATGAAAGAAATATTAAAATTATCTTTTTATTCATTATTTTTATATCAATTCAGTAATTATTATCATATGTTATATTTTTTATCTAACGATATTAGGATAAATGAGGTTATTTATTTTATTTTTAAAATTATAAAAATTTATTGTAAACTTTTTAAGTAGTACTCCTGATGAGGGAAATAATGGCGATGGGACGTGAGTTAATGTCAGCTGCGCCCGGATGATGCCTCGCGCCTCGGTTGACCTGGCAGCGCTTGGCCAAAACAGACCAGAACGCCGACCGAGGCACATTAACATCCTGCACGAGCCCGGTCCTTCACGCCACGCCAACACCGGTGTTAGACGTTACCAGGAGTACGATCCTGCTACCTGCAAGCGGGCACATCAGGCAACGATAACTTTCCCTATAAAAACCCTCGTGCTTAGAAAGAGGAGGGAAAAAGGAGAGAAAAAACCCCCTAAGATTATCCACTAACTTGATCGTCGGAGGGGTCGGGTCGAGCCTCCCGACCCGACCTGTGTGCAGGGACGAAGACGGAGCGCCTCCCACTGCGTGCCCAGGCAAGGAGTTCCCTTCCAAAGGAAACCACTGTCCCGTCGCAATCGGACCACCGTAGTCATCCACCTCAACAGTCTCAAGGGTCGCTCAGGAAGATCCCCAATAATTCAGACCTGAACCCAGCCATGTTGGCCCCGAGGCCACGACTTAAGGTTGTTGACACCAATATTTTGACGCTAGAAGGAGGGCCTGAATGTCGAGGGATCCCCAGATCGACCCAAACGAACCCGCAACTGAGGGATAGCACCTAATCGGGGCTTCGGGGGAGCACACCCCGCATGATGAAACTCAAGCTGAGCACCCCGCTGCGACGTCAGAGCGCTTTTAGCGGTTATTCAATGACCCGAGCTTGTCGCCGCCCGAAGGCACCCGGACCGACTTGTCGCCCGTATCGCCCGAAGCCTTTCAGGACCTCGCTCGTCAAGTCCAAGCTCTGACTAGGATGGTGCAGACCATTATCCCGCTCATTTCTCATCCGGCGCACCCACCTACGATACAACCACTGCTGCAACAAGTGCTGCCTGATCGGGATCACATGATACCCCCGGATCTCCCCGCGTCGCCTCAGGTCCGACCGCCCCCGCTCGAAGATTGAGCAATGGGAAACCCGAGCGCCCGCCTCGGAGCCCGAGGTGTTATCTTCATATTCAACGGGCTCTTTGCGAGCCCAGTTGCACTGCGTGAACCAACGACTCGACGAAGTGCAGAGGGAGGTTCGTAGGTCCAAGGAAGAACTTGGGGAGGACCCGCATCGGGGGTCTCCATTCGCTCTTGAAATACAAGACCAGCCAATCCCCCCGAACTTTCGTCTCCCCTCTCTCGATGCATACGACGGTGCCACCGACTCGGCGGACCATATAGCCACCTTCCGTGCCCAGATGGCGCTGTACGGGACCTCAAATGCCTTGATGTGCAGGGCATTTCCCACGACACTGAGGGGCCTAGCCCGCACATGGTATAGCGGCCTGAAGGCCGGGGCAATCACCTCCTTTGATTAGCTCGCCAAAGACTTTGAGCTTAACTTCTTGGCATACGCCCGGCCAAAGCCGTCCGTCGCGTTACTCCTTGGACTTAACCAAAGGGAGGACGAGCCCCTCTCCCACTTTGTGAATCGTTTCGCTATTGAAATCCGGGGGTTGCCGGACGCTCATCCCTCTCTGTTAATGCATGCGTTTATGATAGACCTGCGGCCTTGCAGATTCTTCTGGTCCCTTGTGGAGCGACCCCCCACCGCGATGCCGGAGATGCTCCAGCGGGCTAACCAGTACATCGCGGGAGGCATGGATGGCCGGGAGACGAGTGGAGCGCAAAAGGGTCGGGCCGGAGCCACCCCGGGGGCAACAATCTGCCGCGCCAAGGCGCAGGGTGGACCGACCTGACCACCCGGCGTCGAGGTCCCCGCTCCCCGTCTCGGGAGCGTCCCAAATAGAGATATTCCTCCAAATAAGGGAGAAGGGGTTGCTCAAAACCCCCAACCCGATGAGAAGTCCGCGGGAGCTCGTGGACCGATCCAAGTATTGCCGTTTCCATCGACAAAACGGACATGACACTGAGGAGCACCGCGAGTTGAAGCGACAGATTGAGGAGCTCATTCGCAGAGGACACCTTGGCCAATACCTCTGACAAGCCAAGGAGCTTTCGCCCCGCCCGGAGGGCCCTGTTGAGCGCCAGATCGATGTGATAACCGGTGGCCCAGCATCTGGGGGAAATAGTATGTCCGGACGAAAGGCGTACGCCCGCGCTGCCGCGGCTGAAGCCCCCAGACGTGGACCCGAGCCCGAGGTCATGTTCCCGGCCAAAGGGACCGAGCGAACCAAGCACAACGATGCACTCGTAATAGCGGCCAGGTTCGCCAATGCCCAAGTGAAGAATATCATGATCGACACAGGGAGCTCGGTCGACATGCTCTACCTAGACGCTTTTCAAAAGCTTGGGCTAACTAGAGACGCCTTGGAGCCGATGTGCTCGGCACTCACCGAGTTCACCGGCGACTCGATCTCGCCGTTGGGAGCTATCACCTTGCCCCTAACCCTGGGAGTCCCGCCAAGGTCCAAGATGGTGATAGCAACCTTCTTGGTGGTTGACCTCCCCACTGCATACAACGCGATCCTCGGCTGCCCGACCCTCAACAAGATCAGAGTCGTTGTCTCCATTTACTACCAAACAGTGAAGTTTCCAATGCACATCGGGGTCGGGGAAGTTTGGGGAAGTCCTCGCGAATCTAGACGATGTTACTTGATGGCGGTCTCATTACATAAAAGGGCAAGGACCAAACAACCACTAGGGTATCCCCGGGAAACGAAGAAATCGACCCGAAATCTCGAGCCAATGGGGGCCACTGATAGCTTACCCCTAATGGAGGATCGGCCAGACTGGACGATCAAAATCGGGTCGGAGCTCCATGAACGGGAGAGGGAGCAGCTCGTCGGCTTCCTACAGGAGAACGCCGACGTCTTCGCCTGGTCGCCGGCTGACATGATAGGCATCGACCCAAAGGTTGCCCAACATCACCTGAACATTTCACCCGATGCTCGCCTAGTGAGGCAGAGGCCCCGACGACAAGCCCCCGACCGACAACTAGCTGTCCGCGAGGAGGTGGAGCGACTTTTGGCAGCGGGCTTTATAGGGGAAGTCAAATACCCACAATGGCTGTCCAATGTTGTCCTCGTGAAAAAATCTAATGGGAGCTGGAGGATGTGCGTTGACTATACCGATCTCAATCGTGCGTGCCCGAAAGACTGCTACCCCCTCCCGAAGATCGACCAGTTGGTCGATGCAACCGCCGGGCATACCCGCCTCTCATTTATGGATGCCTTCTCCGGCTACAACTAGATCAGGATGGCACCCGAGGACCAAGAGCACACGACCTTCCTCACCGACCAGGGGGTATACTTTTACAGGGTCATGCCATTCGGGCTGAAGAATGCTGGTTCCACGTATCAAAGAACCGTAAACAAGATGTTCGCCCGGTAGATCAGACGGAATATGGAGGTCTACGTTGATGACATGATCATGAAAAGCCACACGACAGCTGGCCACCTAGCAGACTTGGATAAGACGTTTGCCACATTGCGAAGATACGACATGCGACTCAACTCGACAAAATGTGCTTTCGGCGTCAGCTCGGGAAGATTCCTCGGATTCATCATACACGAGAGGGTAATCGATGCCAACCCGGAAAAAATCCAGGCGATTATCGGCATGCAAGCCCCTCGGACAATCAAGGAGTTGCAGCGACTGAACGGTAGGCTCCCCGCCCTAGCTCGGTTCCTTTCCCGATCGGGTGACCGATGTCTTCCCTTCTTCCAGGCCCTAAAAAACCCGAAGAACTTCCAATGGACGGTCAAGTGAGAGGAAGCCCTCATGCACGTAAAACAATACATGGCCAGCCTCCCCCGCCTTGCCTCAGTTTCTTCCGGGGAGAAACTCAGCATCTACCTGGTCGCATCCCAACACGTGGTCAGCTCCGTCCTGACTAAAGAGGCCTCGGGGGAGCAGCTACCAGTTTACTACATGAGCCACATCCTAAACGGGCCCGAGAAGAGGTACCAACCGATTGAAAGATTGGCGCTGGCGCTCATGCTAATGGCCCGAAAGCTGCGCCCCTACTTCTAAGCCCATCCAATTGAGGTAATTACCGACCAACCGCTTCGGCAGGTTTTATCTAAATTCGACGTTGCAGGTCGCCTCCTCAAATGGTCAGTGGAGCTCGACGAGTTCGACATACGATATGTACCAAGGACCGCCATCAAGGCCCAATTAGTAGCCAACTTCATCTCGGAACTAACTCAGCCCGGGGACGAGGATTCTAAGAGGGTCAGTAAAGGATGGGTCCTGCGCGTGGACGGATCGGCCAGCTCGAAGGGCGCGGACGCGAGGCTAGTGCTTGAAGCCCCGACAGACGATCGTTCGAACGCTCCATTCGCTTCGGTTTTCAAGCCACGAATAACGAGGCAGAGTATAAGGCACTCCTAGCAGGACTTCGATTAGCCATTGAGATGCAGGTGGACGCCATACACGTCCTCACCGACTCGCAGCTAGTTGCCGAGCACCGCAGCGGCGGATACGAGGCCCGGGACCCAACCATGTCAAAGTACCTGGCAGAGGTAAAAAACCTGATCACCAACTTCTCTCGCTTTACGTTGTCTAGGGTCCCGAGAAATGAGAACGAGCGAGCGGATGAGCTGGCTAAGCTGGCATCAAGGTCGGATCCCGGAGTCTGGCCCGAGGTCGAGGAACTCCCTTTCCGAGCGATCGTGATCGCGGTTGTGTCCCTAGCCGACCCGTAGATTATGTGGGTATAGGAGATACTACGCTACAAGCGGGAGGGGACCCTTCCCACCGACGAAGCCGCAGCTCGGCGTCTGCGCCGTACGCAGGCGTAGTACTCCGAGATGAACGGACGACTCTACAAGAGGTATTTCTCGTATCCTCTCCTACGGTGCCTGGAACCCGAAGAAGCTCGGTCGGTCATGGCTGACGTCCACGAAAGGATTTGTGGGGAACACATCGGTGGGCGAAATTACTAAGAACACATCGGTCGGTGTTACTGATGAAGTTACTAGAAACGAAAGGAATATTAAAATTATCTTTTTATTCATTATTTTTATATCAATTCAGTAATTATTATCATATGTTATATTTTTTGTCTAACGATATTAGGATAAATGAGGTTATTTATTTTATTTTTAAAATTATAAAAATTTATTGTAAACTTTTTAAGTAGTACTCCCATTCTAATAGGATCCAAGTAACCAATTGAAGTTGAGTTCCTACTAACAGTAAAGAATTCTTTTACTAGAAATACACCTATATGTTTTGCTAGAGTAGATGAACGCAGAACAACAAGAACAAGTTTATGAATATGGGGCATCCAATTTCAAATGGAGAAGAGGCCTTCGCACACTGATTTCAGAACTCAAAAAAACCTTCAGGAAAAGTAACCCTATGCAATAAATTATTTGGATGCTTGACAAGTTTAATGCATCTACTGATGCAGTGTGCAGTATTCACAAATCATGCTCAAAATTTCATCCTCACATTTGATCCTACCAAGAACAGAGGTGGACACTCAGCAGTATTCACAATCATGCTCCTTCTTCTTGCACCTGTAATCTCCAGACAGAAACACCAAGCTTCTGTACATGAGATGCTGCTAGCTCAGCTTGTCCAATGCTTCTTCTGCTCCACCATTATTGCCTTCCACTTTCTTCACTTCACCCTGCTCTCTTGACACCCACCACACCCTCAAGCTTCTGTCGAGCCCTCCACTGTAGAGCATAAACCCCTCCCCCACACTGTGAGCTGAAGCCTGCAAGCACTTCACTGGCGCCTCATGGCCTCCGATGATCCCCACCCTGCAAAGCCCACCCCCACCTCTCCTCCTCCACACCCCGATGCTCTTATCAGCTGATCCACTACAGAGGAACTCCCCCGCCGCGCACAAGCACAGCACGCTCATCTCATGGGCCCTCACGTCGCACACCAGCTTCCAGTTTCCACCCCCCTCTCCCCCCTGCCACCCCATGATTCGCCCGTCCGAGCCTCCGCCGTAGGCGAGCCTGCCGTCCTCGCAAACGACCACCACCGAGTTCCATGACACGTCCTTGTGACCCTCCAACACGCCCTTCAGGCGATGTGAGCTCTTCTCCTTCGCCCAAATCTTGATCTTCCCGTCCGCGGACGCCGAGTAGAGCGCACCCCTGTGCGCGACTAGCCCATTGATGGCGTCGTCGTGCGCCCTTATCGACTCCAAGCACTTGAGGTCCGACACCCTCCACACCTTCAGCGTCTTGTCCCAGGAACCCGAATAGACGAAGCCACCATCGACCGCGAGGCAGGAGATGCTGTCGGCGTGCTCGATCCACAGACGCCGGTGGTTGCGCCGGGTCTGCACGTAGTTGCCCTGATTCAGGAACCGGCCCAGGTAGTCCTTGGTGGTGGGCAAGGTGGCCGTAAGCCGGAAGATGTTCTCGGAACCGCGCGACACCTTCCACACCCTGATCCTGCCGTCCTGGTGGCCGGAGAAAATGCGGCTGCCGACGGTGACGAGGGCCTTGACGGAGCCGGAGCCGTGGCCGAACCTCGCGAATCTTCGGAGGTCGGGCTGCTGCCACACGATGATGTCTTTGCCGTGGGAGGCGCTGAGGACGAACTCGCCGCAGAGGGCCAGGCAGGAGACGGAGCCGACGTGGCCGGAGAGGACGGCCAACGACTTGTGACGGCCGGCACCGGAGCCGGCGCAGGGAATGCAGTGATGAACTTGCGGTGGTGTTGGGGTTGGTATGTTTTGGGAGTCGCTGCTGCTGCGGTTCGACTTGGATTTCTCCAGCAGTGGGGTTAACATCGTGGGCTCTGAAGAGGCCATGGCGTGAGGCGTTGCAGGAGCAGCAGCAGCAACAAATCTGCTACAGAGCAAAAGAATGGAATCGGAAGAGGCAGAGGGAGAAGGGAGAGACGTTGGAGATGATAGGGAGGAGCGGGCGGCCGTGGGGCTGAAGAAGAACTCTTTGCGTTAAGAAAAAGGATTGGTCGGGTGGGTTTGCAACTTTTAAATTAGGGAACAAGGCGGTTCAACGGCTACTCTTCTTCTTCTTCTTCTTCTCCTACTCCTCCTC